TACCCACACCTCACCAGTCATTTATTGATGCCACCGGCCTTGGTTTCTTGATACCAATGGCCGGTCGGCCATTTTGATGGTCGATTGGCACTCTGTTTGGCCGATGGCCTCCTTTTCTGGCCGGTACCACTTTTTCGCCTCTTGCAGGCATGGTGCATGCCAACTGTGCCAACTGGAATGCACGGACCCTGCCCCCCATGCACGGGTGTGGCTGTTTTGAACCTTTGCACCCTTTTAGGTCCAAGCTTCCTAGAGAAGATTGCACCCTTTGCTCAAGCTTCTTGAGGAAGCTTGACCCTTTGTCTTAGCTTCCTCAAGAAGCTTGCACCCTTAGCTTAGCTTCCCTTGGAAGACTTGACCCCTTTAGGATAGCTTCTCTTGGAAGCTTAGCCTTTTCCATTGTCTATATAAGGAGACCTCTTTTCTCCATTTGGGGGGTTCAGCAAAAACTAGAGCAAAATACATATATATATCTGATATGCACTTTCTCTCTCTATATATCTCTCTCTCTCTCTCTTCATTTGTGTGGGTTTGAGAGCCTAAAGGTGTGTTTTCTTCTTAGTTTTGCACTAAGACACATAGCATTACACCATACTTCAACTTGGGAGGCCTTGAGGGTTTGTTCTTGAAGTTTTGGGTCGGTTTTGATCAGAAGAAGAGGGCTGAGCTTGCTGTTCTTGGAGTGTTCTTCAAGGGTAACATTATTTACTTTATATTCCCCAATCTTGCACTAGTCTTTAGCCTATCTTGTTTACTTTTTTAGACTTTGTGTATAACTAAAAAAGGTCTTGTATTTGCATGCTTAAGATACTTCATTAAGGTTGTTTTGGTATTGGGGGTCGACCTCCTCTTCTTAAGCCTTGTTTGGCCCTTTTTGTGCTTTCTTTGTTGAGCCTTGGTTATCTTTGTGTATTGGCCTTCTCACCACTGAAATCCAGTGGATTTTCAGTGGTGAAGAAGAGGTTTTGAGGTCTTGCATAGGGGAGGGACACCCCTCTCCCTTTGTCTCTCTTTTGTCCTTGTTTTTGGCTCATAAGGGTAGCATGCATGATTAGTTGTTCTTGACTTCATTTCAGAGGTTTTTGGGCGTTGTTGGTTCATATTATGCCTCTGTTTTTGGTCGGATTAATGGCCCATTTCATGTTTAATATACTTGCTTTGTATTCCTCTCTTTGGCCTAGAAGTGCATCATGCATTTAACCTACAATGCTCTCATGTTTTGGCCTAATGCTTGAGGCCTGTTGGGTGCTGTTTTGATCATATTTTCCATGCTTGGTATAGCCTCTTTACATTTTGGCTTGTGAGCCTTGAGGATGTGAGTCATGAGCATGCTTGAGTTGGGTTGTTTCAGTGATTTGGAGTCATTTCCCATGCTATTTCAGTCCATTACCCATGCTCGTATGATTGCATTTATCATCCCTTTCATGCCTTGAAGAGTTGTTTTGTTGTGCCTTGAAATGAGCATTGTGCATGCTTAAGTGTTTAAGCCTTTGGGGCTGCCATATCAGTGGGTTTTGGGGGCTTATTTTGCATGTTGAAACTCTGTTTTTGGTTGTTTAATTCATGCCATGTGTGGCCATGATAGTGGTGGTAGAATGCTCTTTTTTTGTGCCTTAGTCTTAGGCTCATTGATGTGCATGTTTGCATGAACATTTGTCCACCATTTACACCATCTTTGGCCACTGTTTTGGAAAGGGCTGAGGCCTTCTCATTTCAGTATAAGTCCATCTTCGCATACTTTGCATGTTTGGCATGTTGCATTGTACTGGTTGCATGCTTACATTGCATTACATTTGCATGTTTGCATGTTGTTTAGCTAGTTGCATTGCATGTTTGGACATTGCATGCTTGCATGATAGATTGCATTGCATTTGACATGTTTTGCATCTTAGCCTTATGTTGCATAACTTGAGTCATATTTGTATACATGCATTGCATTGCTTGGTTTGGGGTGTCAAACCAAGCATGAGGGATGAGGCGTGTTCGTACTCAAAGTGACGAAACACGTCTCAACCCTTGGGTCGCCAATGCCCTTGATCTCAATATGATAGGGTGTTGGCATTCATTTGTTTGTTCCATGCATTTACATTAAGAGGCAAACTTGGCCTCTTAGGCCATCACGCATCAAAATGCATAATTGATGGCCCAAGGGTCGAGGGTCATGCTCCTTTGAGTCCATTGCATGATAGGGAGTGTGGTCATGCTCACATTTGCTTGAGAATTCCATGCCATACACTGCTTGCCCTCTGCTGCTGTCAACTGCAGGATTCTGTAGGAAGAAATAGCCGGCCGGCTACTTGGAGTGCCGACCGACCAAATACAATTAGCCGATGGCTCAACCGATGGTCGATGACCATTCCCTTCGGCGGGTGGTGTTCCCACTTGGTCGGTGATGCTCCCCAGTGTTCAGAGAAGCATCATTGGGACTTGCGCAAATTTTCAGAGGAGTAGGGCAGTGTAAATAGAGGCAACAGTGCTATGGCAGCGAGTTTCCGAGCGGGGCGAGTCAAGCATGCATCATTCGCGCATTCCGAGACAGAGTTGCGGCAGTCTCTTTAGCTTCACATTTAAATCATTTTTGTGATTAATTTGTTAATTAGTTAGAGGGTTTGTAATAATTAATTAGCTAGGATAGTTGATTCATTATTTGGACTGTATTATTCTTTTGGTCCCTCTGGGCGAGAGCGAATTTGTAATATGTGTGGGTGCGTGTGTGTATGTCTTCCAACCCCCACTTCTTTCTCCCTTTTACTTACCTGCTTTTGATGGTTAGTATTAGGGCATATTTAAATTAGCATACCTTATGCTATGCATGCGTGCATCCATACATTTGTCTTGCATGCACCGGGCTCGGCACATCATATTAACTGCATTGCATTTCAATTCCAAGTTGAATACACGTTATTTGTAGCATCTCATATGCCATCTTAGATTAGCCGAGCCTATTCTAGCTGCATTTTGCCTGTGTTGCATTAGCCATCTCAACATGAACTAGGATCATGCATTGATTACTAACTAGTTTTTGTTTTGGCTTGGAGTACTAGGTAAGCTTTTATGCTTTAGCATCCTTGCATGCATGTGAGTGTTTGCCATGACAGCATGCTTGCCATGAGGCTAATTGCTTATGTGATATAACTGCCTGAATGGCTGTGGGTGAAGGTTGGATTGTTTGAATTGGAATAATTCATTGAAATCCGTATTTTAGCCTACTTGCGAGTAGCAAATCTCAAACCATTTTCAAACAAATGGATATGCAATGCTTTGTTCCAAATTAAGCAATCTAGTCTATACTTGTTTTGCTGTGCGCATCACGTAGTAATTTTAGGCTAATTAACCGGAATAAGAGCACTTAATGTTTTCAAAACAAGATATCATGATTAGTAGAGGCCGTTCTTTGATCGGGCGAGCGGGGGTGCTCATAGCTGACCTTCCCCAATCGTACCCAAGTTCCCGAGTCGAGACAACTTTGGTGATGACGGACACGTGGCCTTAGGCAATCGAGTCAAGGTTTCCTAAATTCCCCAAAATAAATATTTAGGTGGCGACTCTGTATCTGGCAAAGCAGTCCATGTTTGGCACTTCTTTCTAAAAATCTGTTTTCCAAAACGATTTGCTAGACTTGGACTCTTTGATGATTCATCGGTCTTGCATTGCATTCTGCGAGATTAGATACAAGACCGTGACGTTGAGTCCTGAACTATAGTGAGCCCAAATGAACAGAACGGGATCTCCCTCCCGAGACGTTCGGGGACGTCTACAGTTGGTGGGGACGTCTTTTGGGACATCCGGGGGGTCGACCAGGGGGTCGACCGAGTGACAGAGTTTTCAAAGCAAAGCGTGGAATTGATTTTTAAAAACTGTAAAGAAACACAAAACTCAAAAACACACCTAGAATCACATTTCTAGAACATAACCAAACAGAGCCTAAAACTTTTAAATATCATTGTGTTTTTTATTTTTTTCCTCTTTCTATCCTATTACACCATTCTCGTTATTTGTTAGTTTGTTAATCATAATTCAATTAATTGAAAATGAAAGCTTAGTATAACTTTTCATATATATTAATTAATATGTTACCGCTATATTTGTATATAATAGCATAATATATAGGGATAATTTCCAAACATAATTTATATTTCTTTATGTAATTGAAATAGCTCATCTTAAAATAGTATATAAAGGAGTTATATGGCTTCTTTTATCCCAAAAAACCTAATCTTTTTTTTAATTTTTTAAATTGAAACATCAATTGTTTAAGTCCATAAAACAAAATTCATAAACACATATTCAAAAGCTACACTTAATTTTTTAAACTAATAATTTAAAATGTTACAAACATAAAAATTAATTTATAAATTTCATGTATAGAACAAGACAAAATATTAAATTAGTTTAACATATTTATAATGATTTCGTGGAATTAATTTATAAAGTCCCATGCATAGCACAGGTTACCATTAGAATTATTAATATGTAATTACTAAAAGTAATGTGTATCTACTAAAAGTAATTTAGTTGGCATTTCTCTTAGGAAATGGGGTCGCTGCTGTGCCTTTAGCACAACAGTGATTGGTGTGCCTCATTTTGAGGTGCATTATGGGCTTATTTTTATGATCAGAACCGTCATTTTGTAGGGTTTGTTGAGTACTTCATGCTTACCAAAAATCATATTAATCGAATATCAATAACTATATGATCGAATTGCATATTTTTATGATATTCCTCAAAAGAAAAACTTGTTGTTTTCTTTTTTGGTTATCAATCATATAATTATTGATATCTAATTAATATGATTTTTGGTAGGTATGAAGCACTCAACAAACTCTACAACATGAATGGTTCAGATCATAAAAATAAGTCCATAATGCACCTCAAAATGAGGCTGTAATTTAATTTTTCTTACTTTTAGAGACTGACGTTTAGACGGCAATTGTAATTTAATTTTTGGAGGTAAGATTTCAAAAATTGGAGGGATTCCTAAATGAATTAGTGACTAAAATTTTGAGGAGGTCGGGAATGGAAGCATAATCCATTCATTGAATAAACCCACGATTATGTTTTATCTAATCTCTCACGCCTCTTACTCACCCAAAAAAATCTCTCACGCCTCACTCTTCTGTGTCTCTTCTCTGTCACGCCTCACCCCTCTGCCCTCCTCTCTGTTACTAGAGCACCACCGCGGTTAGACGAGCACACCGCAAGGGTTACAGAAGCACCACCGTCGCTTTGTCTCGGGTAGGTATGTCCTCTATTTCGCCCTCTGTGTGTGTGTGTCTCTATCTCCCTATCTATGTCTTCTTCCATTCGCATATACCTTCACACCCAACCCCAAATCAACCCACCCACAAATTGACCCAGCCTTAAATCGATTTGATGCAATAAGAAAATTATCCCTTCTCATATTTTATGGGTCCCTTTCCTTCCCTTCTGATTATTTTTTTATTTTATATTAGGTAATTATGAGTCTCTAATTGATTTCTTTATGGCCCTCGAACTGTATTCTCCTGTTTAACATCCGTTTGGTTACTGAGAAAAGCTGAGAAAATGTGGAAATAAAATAGATAGAAGAAAATTTTGAGGATTACATTTCTTTTCGTATTTTTTCCGAAAAATGAATAACTCATCTCAATTAATCCACATTATTCAATCTGGCTCTCTCGATTGATCTATTTTGTTCTTCTATTAATCAAAATTTCTGGATAAAGTTAAACATTTGGATGAAATTTGACATATTGAACTCTGTTATTAATATGAAACCTGTCAATTTGTGGATTTTTGATGAAATGTAAAATTAGCAGTCGATTAGATTATGTTATTCATCTGATGTTATACATGTATGTGTATATTTGTAAATATAATTATACAAGATATGTTTCTGTATATATTCATATTCTTTAAGTTGGATTTGTTACCGCTTTTGTTGACCGATTGGGCTCTCTGATGATAAAATATGTTGATTAAGCACTTGTTAGTGGTATCAATAATTCTGTAATTTTAGCTTAAGGGAAATAAAGTGATATTGAATGATAGTTCAGAGGTAAAGTGTAATTTGTTATAAAGGGTATATTCATTATAATGGTCTAAGCGTTGCAATTTTTAGTTCAGAAAGATAAAGTGACACGAAACTATGATTGAGGGGTTAAAGTATAATTAGCCCTATTATATATGGACTAAAGAGCTGATAGACTTACATTGCTAGAACTGTGAAGAATGTTGCCAAAAGAATGGGCCAAACATAACACTGCTTGTGACAATGTGATCCCTTCTTCTTCTTCAGCTTTCTATTGCTATTTTTACAACAAAAAGAGGTTGCCAGCAAAAATCCCCCACATACCAAACCACATAAAAGCCACAACACCCCAATGACATATCCATATATTCTTGTAAATATAGCTGACTGCACAAAATAGTACAAGGAAAAGTTATTGTTCTGGGAAGCAAAAGTTGTGCTTTTGTTTTTTGGAAATGAACATAGTGAAAAGAACAAAAACACACATCGTTTTATTTTTGTGCAAAAAACAGTTTCAAAAGATTGAAACAATTTTTTGATGCTTCCTAAAAAGTAGGTAGTTTTCAGAAATAGTTTGCCAAAGAAATTTTTTATTTTTTCTGAAAAAAATGAAAACAAAAACACAACCCAACAGATGTTTTGGAGGAGACAGAGAGAGAATTGAACACTTACACTCCAATAATGCTTACTGGTTATGTCATATCCTCCTATATATTTCTTGAAATGATTTAGAGGATCCACTCTTACAGTATCATCTGATTGTCTCATAGGTTCTGATATGTTTACTGCTTGAAGCAAACTCCTTCCTAGAAAAACCACAAAATCATTGAACCATAATTTGTTTTAGTGGCAATGGTACATTTTTGTAGCTCAACTCTGATTTTTCTTTAAAATCAAAGCTAACCTTCAAAATCAAAACCTCAGCCTGAGCCCAACAATTATAGAAGATCATTAAATTACTATAGTATTAGTATGAATGTTCTATCATTAACATTAAAATTATGTCATTAACAAGCACATGTTAGGCATATAAATAATTATATTATTGGTTGAAAAATTTTATCTTCAAGGAGGGTGGCTAATAGTTAAATATTGATTCAATGTTAAGGGATGTAAAGTTTGAGTAGAATAATAGAGTGGGATTGTTTTCAGATGCTGAGGAATAAGTTATTGCTATGAATATTGATATGTTCAGTAAATTAATATTATTGATTTTCTTATCGTTTATTTTGTATCACTTTTGACAAGATATTGACAACGAAGAATCATATTATTATGATTTTGGAGATGTGGGACATGTTAATTGGAGATGGTATAGAGGCCGAGCTATAACAAAATTAATATCATTCGGAGAGAACAATGCAAAAACAGCCCCATTTCTTCTTCTCAAGCATCATATGTACTACAGTCTTATGACTGTTCTTCCAAGTACTACCACCAAACATGAAGGAGACAACAATTCATAATATCTGAGGAACTTAAAATAGAATCTCCTCCAATTTGAGTTTTGGGTTTCTTTCCAATTCATCACATTCTTCAAGTGAACATTATAAAAGCAAAAGTAGCTAAAGGAAATCACCCTAGTCAACTTGATCAACACAATTACTAATTTCTGATCATATCACTTTGGTTTCAAATCAGTTGTGTGATTTCAATTTGGGGGATGCTAAAATAGGTCTAAGTATTCAATTTCAGTCCACTATGTGTACCATGAAGTGGCACAAGATAGATTGAAAGCAAAGGGAAGGGAGGTTCCCTTGTCCTTTCTAACCTTCTGATGCACACAGTCATGCGGTCATTTAGAGTTTATTTAAGATGTAGTTTGGGTTTATGAAATTTTTCAACATAGTTTTTAAATAAGTCACTGATTATTTTGTATTGGTGGATCATAAATTCAATTCTATTCTAATTTTCTATAATGGATTTGTGATCATAAATTCAATTCTCGATGTTTTTCCCTTGTTAACTTTGTGGTGACATTAGGATCTGAATTGTTACCGCCTTGTGGTGCAAAGCAATTCTAATGTCTAAAATTGTGATCACCATATTTTGTGTCCTTCAAATTATTGGGGATTATCACCTAAAGTAGTCATGTTTTAGGTGTCATCAATAAATCAACCATGATTTAGGTGCAAACTTGTAATAAATCAACCAAGAAGCTGTTTTAGGTGTCATCTTCATTGGGTATCACTTGATTCAGTTGTGGCTGCCTTACTCTGATGGTTGGGTGTTAGTAGTAGTAGGTTTCTCTGCTGTTTCTGTTTTCTGCTGTTGCTAGCCCTGTTTTGTCAGTTCTGTTATTGTGTTGCTGTGTATGTGTCGGTCTCTCAAAAACAGCTTCTTTGGTAGGATGCTGCCATGTGATTGAGCGAGTTACTTAGTGCCAACCTAGTTGGGATTGGGCTATTTCGCTATGATGGCCGCTGCATCTTCCCCCCCTCCCCCTCCCCCTCTCCCTCCCTTTGTTGATGTCTTTTTCCTTCCTTGTAAGGTTTTCGTTCATCACTAAAGTGTTTCTTCATTGTTGATCCAAAAAAATATAGCAGCAGCAGTATCAGTAGAAACTTGGGTTTATTTGTTTATAAAATGAGAAGAATATCAACTATTTGTGTGATTGAAGTGATGGAGGGTGGGGTGGAGAGGTTCTTCTAGTAGATAAACAGGATCAAAATCTGATATAAACGTAAGAAAAAATCTGATTACTTGTTACACTGACAGTAGGTAAACAAAGTAAAAAATAACATAAAGCAGAGTAGAGAAACCCATTTCATAGAAAAAGACCTATTTCATTTGATAGTAGATACACTATGCATATCAAAATCTGATATAAACCTAACTAAATGTCTTTCATCTCTCATATTGGTTCCCTTTTAACCATTTGTTAATTTTATGTTGCGATTGAATCTATGAAAAACATAAGCAAAAAAAAAATAAAGTTTCTATTGCTGTGTTAGATAAGTTTTACATGACCTGTGAGACAATGTTATTGTGTCTGTCATGGAATTTCGTATTGAACATATAAACCAAAACTTTCTAATTTATTTGTATCTGTACTTGAATTGTGGCTTTTAGTTTTAATTGAATTTTACTATTGAATTCTAAATTTTCTATTTAACTATTGAATTATAAATTTTCTATTTTACTATTGAATTCTAAATTTTGGTTTTTACTTGTGCTCCATAAACAACAAATTCATAATCCAAATGAAACCATGAAATTATCTACATCTATATCCATATATAACTTTGAATTTTATGAATTCCCTGTGTGTTGTACTTATTCAACGTTGCCGGTACTAAGTTCATGTTAAAAAATGTAGACTAATCATGTATCCCACTGTAGGATTTTTTTGATTATACCCTCACCCTTCCTTGGTAAAAAAAAAAAATTAAAAAATTAAGTAATCTGATAACTCAGTGGATCTCTTTTGAGTATGAATTCATGAATCTAAATACAAATATGCGAGTAAGACAAGAGAAATTGGATATAGATTTATTTTATTTTATTGATAATTTAATTTTAATGACAAAAGAATGAGAATTGATTTATATAACTGATTCCAAGTTATTGAGATACAACACTTAATTTAATTCTATTAAAATTTCAACAAAATGCTTGTAGCTAAATAAGTTGATAGGACATAATTTGGACTTGGAAGGCATGTCTTTCAATCCTTGAACCAAAATTCTCATTTTGTTCTTAGGTTAATCTTTGCTTGATTTGTAGGTCACAATAATGGACAAGAGTTGGATGCTGATAAATAATAGGTTGACAAGCAAAGAGTATCAACAAGGGGTGAAGTCATTCCTTGACTTTGCTACCGCAAATTTAGACCCACATGATGATATTAGGTGTCCTTGTGTCAATTGCATGAATGGCACAAAATTTAGCAGACAAGTTGTGTGGACGCATTTGATCCGAAGAGGAATTGCGTCTTCGTATAAAACTTGGGTCCACCATGGAGAACATGTTCCCATTTCTCAGCCTAGTGTATCAAATGACCATTTTGGAAGTAGTGGAGAAGGTATGCCAGATACCGATCATCTGATGATGGGTGAATTGCCTAATATGTTGGAAGAAATTTACATGAGTGGTCTTATGGATGATCATATCGACGAAGAACCTACTACTTTGGAGAGGGAAGATTTGCAGAAGTTCATTAGGTTATTTGAAGATGCCCAACGCAAAATTTACCCAACATGTGAGAAGTTCTCTGTGTTATCATTCGT